CCCGCAGTTCTTCTATATCGAATTCAGGGTCACTGCCGTGGTTGCTGCTGCTGCTGCTGCTGCTGCTGCTGCTGCCGCTGCTGCTGCTGCTGCGGTCGCTGCTGTTGTAGCTGTACTCGCTACCCGTAGACACAAGCCCATCGCTGTCTTGCTGCTGCGACTCAGACCGACGAGCCGCCCGCTGCTGCTGCTTCTGCTGCCGCCTAGGAGCAGCTCCTGCTGCTGCTGCTGCTGCTGCTGCTGCGTGCTGCTCGTCGCCATCTGGTGCTGCTGCTGGTCTTTTGCTGCGGCTTTTGCCGCTGGTTGCTGCAGCAGGAGTTCTTGGGTGAGCAGCAGCCTTTTGTTCTTTCAGATTGATCCCAGCAGCAGCAGCAGCAGCAGCAGCAGCAGCAGCAGCAGCTTTTGCTGCTTCTCTTCTTCTCTCTCTCCTCGCACACCTCCAGCAGCAAATAAGTATATCTTGCTGACTAGGATACAACTTAAACAAAAAAGGCAGCTCATCAGGGCTCTCAATATAAATAGGTTTCTCTTCTTCTATCTGCTGCTGCTGCTGCTGCTGCTGCTGCTGCTGCTGCTGCTGCAGCTGCTGTGTTGCTTCTCGCTGCAGCAGCTCATACACCGCTCTCTCCCCGCCCCTGCTACCGCCGCTGCCGCCGCCACTGCTGCCACTGCTGCTGCTGCTGGTGCTGCTGTCTGTTGCGAGTTTCTGCTGCAGGAACAGCAGCAGCTGCTGCTGCTGCTGCGGCCCCGGGCGCCAGCTGGGGGGCTGTCTATCGTCTGGGGGCCCCAGAGTCTGCCTGCAGCGGCAGCAGCAGAAGAGGCGGTGGTCTGGGTTCCTTGCTGCGTTGTGTTTTCTGAAGGAGCTGGGCGGTGCTGGCCCCTCTGCTGCTGCTTCTTCCTGCTGCTGCTGCTGCTGCTGCTGCTGCTGCTGCTGCTGCTGCTGCTGTTGCTGCTGTGTTTTTATTCTTTTATAACGCACTGCGTCTGCTGGTATCTGCGGGCTGAAGCCACAATCTACATCGAAGGCGTGGCGATAGAAAAGAGCCGGTGGCAGTCCCCCATCATCATCTCCCTCTCTTCCTCCTCCTCCGCCGCCGCTGCTGCTGCTGCTGCTGCTGCTGCTGCTGCTGCTGCTGCTGCTGCTGCTGGTGGCAATACAGTAGGGGAACTGGGGCCTAGCTAGCCACTGCTGCAGCGTGTCTACCTGCAGCTTTCCTTTGATAGAAGCAACCGGGTTTACGTCGATAAAGTTAAGGGCCGGGATTACCTCGAACTGACTATACACCTCAACAGGCAGATCGCTGCAGCACTCTCCCCGCAGGTCAGCTGGGTCCCAAGCCCACCGACACACTATCTTTCCTGCTGCTGCTGCTGCTGCTGCTGCTCCTGCTGCTGCTGCTGGTGGTGGTGGTGGGGTTGC